TGATCATGCTACACACAAACACTGCCCATGCCACTTGTGACATTCGTGCTGCAGGCTGACCACCTGCTTTATTGGACCAACTGTAAAGCTGGAAGAGCTGTTAGGCAAGCTTTCAGGCACAAAATGCCCACCCTCAGGTCTTCTTTCCCACACCTGAAGGACACTTTGTGCCAAAGTCTTGTCTAACATCTCTCCAGACTACACAACTGATCCAATAAGGTATTACAAAAAAAAAAAAACCACACAAAAAAACCAAAAAAACCTTGCTTCTGAAATCAATTGTGCAAAGAAGAGTTGCACTTGAAGAGCACGGATATGTCTGTCTACCCCAGTTTCCTCCATGCTAAACTGAAACCTTACTTGTTTTGCTTGATGATCATCATCCCAGTAGCACATGCATCACCAGTGGTTAACAACGTAATACTTGGTTCGTTTTGGCAATATTCTGGCTTTGAGTAAAAACAGAACAAGGACTATTGCTATGACCTGTTATTTCAATTAAGACACAGGAAACAATCCTGAAGCCCACAGTTGTGTGAACAGTCATTCCTATTCTCAATTCCTGGACTTAAATAAGTAACACTTCCAGAACATAGTATTTTAAACAGCTTGTTCATTCCTAGCAAAAGTCATACAATTAGGAAAAGTGTTGAGTATATTTATAAAAGACAAATTAATCATCAACCTGAGGCAGGGCGAAAAGCCAGCCTATAACCATTTAAATGCATACATTAGCATTGTTACCACTAATTATTTTAATATAGAACACTTACAGATACATTTCATAACTTGGCTTGCCACTGAGAGTTGAAATATTTAATAAAATACAAGAGATTCAGGCAGGTCAGCTTTAAGCAATGTTAGATTTTGTAAACCCAAAAATCAATGTGTTAAAAAGACCCTTCCATTGGGACCTGAAAAATATTTCTTTAATAGTTGCCAAACCTTTTGCCTGTTCATAAAGGTGGAATTATGGGAAGCAATTCTGAAACAAAATGACTTCTTTCCTTCTTGCCCAATCTAAAATTTAAAAAAATTGTGAAGCAGAAAAACAAACCTAAACAACAACAAAAACCACACACCCATTTTTTTCCTCCTGATTTGAATCTGATATTTTGCTACAAATAGGAAGGAAGTCTGCTTTTAGAAATACCACATGGCTTAGCCATTCTAAGTACCTCAGAGCCAAAGCCCGCTGAAGTCTGTGGGAGTCCTACCATTGACTTCAATAGGCTTTGGATCATAACTAATATCCTTTTAAATCAAGATAACATTTCTGCTTTGCTGATAATATGACATCACAAGTTCAATACAATTTTCTTCCATCTTTAAAGCCAGACTGTTTTCTCACCCATGATATGAATCAGGTGTAACCACCTGAAAGCCACACAAGTTGTACCAGTATACATTTAAATAGGAGAATCAGGAGTGCAATTATGAAGAAGGCTTTCTAGAAATACATGCTTTCCTGTTCAGTGTCCATTCAAAGCACTGCCTATAATTATTTCATTTTAAAGTGTCAATGATTTTGCTGGTTTCAAGTCAGTAGGTAAAACGTCTTGTGCAATAAGCTCCTAAATTCAAATGTCTAGCTTAACACCTACATTAGTTTTATTTTTCATCTTGTCAAATCAAATATGAAGCACTGTCACACACACCCTCCCCCCCCCCCCCCCCCCCCCCCATTCTGGCAGGTAAGCTAGAAGCATTCCACTCTATTAGTTAAAAACATAATTTAAAGTTTCTTTAATCATGTGTTAAACACAACAGCTCTTTAAGCTGTTACAGTCGATCATAAATATAGTTAGGTGCATGAGAAATGCTCAACCTGCTCTGTAAAGTAGCTATTCTTCAAACTTCAATATGCTCCTTTATTCACAATAGAAAATACAAGCTAGAAACTTAATTTTCAGTCTGACTAGCACAAGAGATACTGGGATCAGTATTTATAAACTAAATTACATGTAGCCTGATTAGATTTAACTTGTATAATATGGATTAAAAAATAATTTAATATTTATGGGCAAGAAGCTGCCAATGGACCACACTGCTCCTGCCAGAACTCCACTGGCTTCAGCAGCCCTTCACACATTCCTGGATAGATCTGTCCCAATATCAACTTAGTTCTTGTAAAATGTGATGACAGGTTGCCCTGAAGACTGCAGTAGTCTGCTGATCAACAGATGCAGACTGAGACATGCTGCTGGGGAAGTTACGTCTCAGTCACACCTGGCTCTACAGGTGAAAAATTGGTTTGTTTTCTTGCATTTGTGCATTGCACACTTCGTTTACTGAGTGCAAACTGAAGTGCCAAACACTTACTTGGGAAGCTGATGCCCGTCTCCTACAAAAAGGGCTGAGAGAAATAAAGCAAGTTCACTTGACAGCCATAAATAAATGATTCTTTACTTGATAACAACCAGGACTGAACTTCAAACTATAGACATGGGACTAACCTACTGCTACTAACAAATGGAAAACTCTCAGTTAAATGATAAGGCTCTAAAGCAGTGATTCATAACTAGGGTAGTACAGCATGCTGGGGTGCTCCAAGACTCCTTCAAGGCTGCCATGGGGGGCTGCACAACCATAGCAGTCTTAGGAATGGAAACATGAGTCAAAATATAAATTCAGAGAAAATAAACAGAAATTCATATTAAAAGCCTTCTGATCTGTGACCTTTCTGAGTTCTTTGCAACAGCAGAACCGGTCTATTATTTTTCGGTAGTCAAAAAAAAGAAAAAAGTGAAAACCAAGATGACATTTTCAGGGGGGGGGGGGTCCCTTGAATCCAAAAAGGTTGGGAGCCAATGCTCCAAATCATTACTCCTAATAATCAACACTTTTTCAACAAAAAATGAGTTCTCTCAAGTTTTCACTGATAAAATATCTGCTTTGTGCCCCCACACACTGTTTTTCAAACTCAATTTTCATTAGGGAAAAAAAAAAGTTTTAGGACCAAAATTATTCACAACCCATCACCAACTTCCTTGAGCTGCCAACTGGTTGGCACATTAATAAGTTCAGGTCTAGACTTTCAGTCTGGCCTGCAGCAAAAATGGATGTGGCATATATAAAAGGGTCCTCCCTTTATTTACCAGGCAAATCCTCTGCCCCTTGCAAAAGAGATTCACCCCGATTCATATAAACAGCTAAAAACAAGAAGTAAACTTTGATGGTCGCATTTATTTGTGCTACTTCATAATATATGTAGGTCCTGTATCATATATTAGATTTAGTCATGAGTTTTACCATAGCAGTTCTCAAAAAAACAAAACAAACAAAAAAAAAAAAAAAACAGGAAAAAAAGGGGCCTGCAAGTATGTAACATAGCAGACCCAAACTTGTATTTCCTCAACTTCCCAAAAGCACAAACCAACGTTTGCCAAATTTTTCACTTAAGTCTTTAGCCGGCATCAGGATCTGTTACAGGCCAGTAGCCATCCCTCCCTTGATTAACCTTTCAGCACCCAGCACTACAGAAACACAGTGGAGTTTCCACCTTGACAGGCCTTTCCCATTTCACCTGCACAGGAGCCTTTCCACCTCCTCCTGCACTAGGGCACAACCCTTTGCAACAGGCCATGCCAGCTTGCTCGCACTCCCGGTGCATTTTATTTTTTATTAGGTTTTTGGGGGGGGGGTTTGTACAGAGGAGCCTGTTGATGACAACTAAAAAGATGAACTAGTTTGCTGACAAGTAAAAAGAGGAGCCGCTTGGCCAAAATTCGGCAGCTTGCCCCTCGACTCCTGCGTGCCCTGGGCTCAGGTCACGGCTGCAGCACCGGCACTTTTCAGGCCTCTCAAATGAGCACGCCCAGCCCCCCGGGACGGGCAGTGCAGGGGGGGAGGCTGCGGCAGAGACAAGGGCAGCGGGTGCCCTTAATCCTCCCCAGCGCAGGAAGTTCAGCTGGCCCCAGTGCCAGGCCCCGGTGCAGGATGTGCTCAAGATGATGTGGCCGGGCCCGGGCGGCAGGCGGAGGCAGGCTCCGGAACAATGCGAGGCGGCCCGGGCCGCGCGGATGGCGGGAAGCGCGGGGGGGAGGAGAGCAGCGAGGCAGGAGGCGGCGGCGGCGTCCCGGT